TGTGTGTGTTATAATGTACTCATGTATGCATGTACTCGTATTTTATCTTATAGTGTAAGAGTTTCATTTACCCACCGAAGGCTTTGTGCACCGTTGTGGTGCAGCGGCTAGATGTTTGCCTGCGGATCAGAAGATCGTGGGTTTGGGTCCTGACGGAGCCAGACTTTGTTCAAAAATGATCTTGGGTCTAAGCTCCACCCAGCCATGAGTGGGTAACAGGTATCACCTGGGAAGTAAAGCTGGCCACATCATTCACCGCGTGTCGACTCATCTATATCATGAACGTCTCACCATATCTGTCCAATACACCTGAAGGGCTCTTTGGTTAGATTTGCTTGCACATTGAAATGTACATGTAGGTTAGGTGCCCTATTTCAATTATTACAAATATTCCAGGATTTGGGAACAGAGTCCTTGCACCACCACGGTGTCCTTGTTTGCATGTACTGCTGTGTTTGTTTCTTTTGGCTAATGTATATATTTTTCTTTCCAGTAATGTATCTGTTCATTATGCATTGTATGCGTGAGTGTGTGCGTGTGTGTGTTGGTGAGGTTGCTGTTGTTTTTTTTGGAACGTTTCAAGATTCCAGGCAACAGTATCGCATTACGCTAAAGAGAGAAATTGGACTCAAACTAGGTAGTTAGGAAGATTCATTTAGAATATGTGCATGCTATTTCAATATCGTTGTTGCCAAACCAAGTTTTCCTACCATATTCCTATTATGATACCCAGCTCTTACATGTTTGCAGACTTTTCTCTTTTGCACAATGTTAAAATAATAATAAAAATAATAATAACAATAAAAAAAAAAATAGTTGGGTGGTGGGGGGAAACAACATTTCTTATTCTTCGTTTCCTTGCTGCTCTTCTTCTTCTTCTTCTTCTTCTTCTTCTTCTTCTTCTTCTTCTTCTTCTTCTTCTTCTTCTTCTTCTTCTTCTTCTTCTTCTTCTTCTTCTTCTTCTTCTTCTTCTTCTTCTTCTTCTTCTTCTTCTTCTTTCTTCTTCTTCTTTCTTCTTCTTCTTCTTCTTCTTCTTCTTCTTCTTCTTCTTCTTCTTCTTCTTCTCTTCTTCTTCTTCTTCTTCTTCTTCTTCTTCTTCTTCTTCTTCTTCTTCGTCTTCTTCTTCTTCTTCTTCTTCTTCTTCTTCTTCTTCTTCTTCTTCTTCTTCTTCTTCTTCTTCTTCTTCTTCTTCTTCTTCTTCTTCTTCTTCTTCTTCTTCTTCTTCTTCTTCTTCTTCTTCTTCTTCTTCTTCTTCTTCTTCTTCCATCCCCCATTGGAGCACAGGCCTTCAACGAACTCACGCCAAGTGCTTCCCTATTGCTTTCAGGCTACCCAGAGGCATCCCCATCTTTGAAACTTCACTCACCAGCCCCCACCCCCTCCTCCCCGTCTCCAGGTGTTTCGCTAGTCTGCGTTTATTTCCCTGATCCTTATGGGCATGGTTTGTTGGTTTATGGGGCTATTGTTTTTACAGGATTGAGTAGCCAACCCCAAGCCCGACCCAACACAAAGTTGCCTTTTACGACATGATACTTAAGGTACAGTGTTGCAGTTATTTGCTTTCCCTGAGGATCCCGGTAACACACGGAGGAAAGGGTACTCAGCCTTACAAATTATCTGGACAAAAAAGGGGAAAGTGGGGGGGGGGGGGGGGGGGCGCTCAACTTCCTACAAGTATCGTGAACATAATAATTTTGATTTTGGGGTGGGTGGGTGGGAGAAGGTGCCTTAAGGTGCCTGACTTTCAGGTTCCGGTGCCTATGAGTAGAGCAGATAAAACGTAAGCAATAGGAAGTGGAAGTGACCTTGGATACTGACCTGAAAAGACCTGGTTGATGGTGGTGGCTGTGGTCTGAGGTATATCCAGGTGACTCGTGCAGAACAAGATCAAGTTGGCTACAATACTGTAGTAGGTTAACCTCTCACACATTTCAGTGACCAGTATACATAGCGTCGTGACCAGGGTTTTCGAGTTGCTGTAGTTAACACACATTCATGATAATGGTTATTGCAGTCACAAATAGATGGATTTAAAGAACATGATAACTTTTTGAGTGGTTTCATGTGAGTTAGTTTGGCAGCTAGCATTATAACACGCTGGACATTTCCATAAGCGCTTCGTCTAGAAGTAGCAATAACAACCAATAGAAAATCTTAAGTGCAAGACAGCCTAGCATATGACACCACAACATCTAGCATGAGAATAGAGGTGGAGGCGGTAACTGCAGCTCTCCGGTGGCTAGAGACCAAGATGCATACACAATTCGTAATTGTAACAGACTCAGAAAACATGCTGAGAAAGATAAAGACAGGGATGCTTTGAGCAGAGTGGCAAGCTTCACTGGAAAGGTCACGGGTAGCGTGCATACTTTGGATCTTTTCTGCTTGCCATGCCGGCGTGTGAGGTAATAAACAGATAGGTGGTAAATTAATACATGACAAGGCAGATGTGGTCAAGGCTCTTTGGGAACAAGCAACGGAATCAGTAGAGAAAGAAAATGTTATGGCCTTGAGAGAATTAGCCACCCAGGTGTAACCAGAGGGTCTGGTCGGCCCACTACACTCAGAGGAAAGAAAAGACGGACATACACCCAGATTATGACCGGTACCATCAGTATTTGCTGGCTGCTGAAGATGTGGACGGAGCATGCATTGGAATGCCCCGAGTGCTGTGATGTCAACTATTGACTCAACTCAGCTAGCAGTAGCAGTTTTATAATGTGCCCGCCTGGCCTTTCCTTTGAGGGCAGTGGTCAGTGCCCGCTGCACACTTCTCTCTAGACGTTTAGGACATAGCCCGCGATTCCACATTATTACTTACTTTAATTAATGTTTGAACACATTGAGGAAATACAGTTCCTTTTTTTTAATGTAGGTTTCTTTTCTCTTAATTTTTCTTTCCCTGCTTCATTATTTCTTTTTTTCTTTCTGTCTTCTCCTCTCTCTCTTTTTTCCATTTCTTTCAATCTTGCTTTCCTTTTTGATTTGTGTATACGTCCTGCTGGCTAACTATTTCTTTTTTCTCTTTCTGTCTTTCTTTCTTTCTTTCTTTTTTTCTTTCTTTCTTTTGAATTTCACTATCTTTTTATGAAATCCGAAAATGTAATATTTTATCTGAGGTTGCATTTTCTTCTCTTTAAGTAGTTGTTAGGAATTTTTTTTAAAAAGGGGGTAGGGTGGGGGATGGCCGGGGGGGGGGGGGGGGGGGCGAGCGTTTCTGTGGGCAAGGTGAGGGGCTGAGATAATTCTAAAGGTATCTCGAAGGAGATAACTAGCAGGAACATAATTGTCAAAATGGCATAAACGTCAGCTGTTAGTTGAAGCTATGAAAGCAGATGATGGTCTTCTTAACGAAGGAACAAGCTGGGCGGTTGTCCTGGGCTCCGCAGGTGAATAAAAAAAAAAAAACAACAACCATAGTGCCAGTGTCGACCCCATGCCTACATTTGTGTGCCAGAAGATGTCTTGGGAGGTGAAGGAGTTCTTAATATGTCACGCATCAAGTGCGGACTGGTGTATAAAAATTAATACGCCTTTAGAGCTAGATCTATATTTTATAGACTAAGCGGCACTTGATGGATGACTTGGTCACCATCATACTTGTCGTCTTTACTTCCCAGGACTTAAGCTGGTACTTATTGAAGACTGGGTCGACCTGGGAGCACAGTAACGTTTTGAAGAATAAAAGTCCGGCTCCGTTCGGAATCGAACCCACGACCACCGCATCGGCAGCGATACCTAGCGGCTACAACACGGGATCTCCCGTTGAACTATTCAGTTTAGTAATTGTGACCTGTCCAGATTGGTAAATTTTAATTAGTGACTGAGAGCTCATTCTGTATTGTTGTGTCCATTTGCTAACTTTTAGCTAGTGGAAACTCACGCTGTGTTGTACCGTAAAGTGTGTTAACTGCTAACTAACTGTTGAGAGCTATTTGTGTGTACTATCCGGGCTCTGGACAGTTTCCCCTACCGACGGCCCCGTTTCTACCATCCAATGAGTTAACTTCCAACTAGTGACTGAGAGCTCATGCTGTATTGTTCTGTCCAGTTTGCTAACTTCTCGCTAGTGAGTGGAAACTCACGCTGTGTTGTACTGTCAAGTGTGTTAACTGCTAACTTATCGATGAGAGCTGTTTGTGTGTTCTACCACCCAATGAGTTAACTTCTAACTAGTGACTGAGAGCTCATGCTGTATTGTTTGTTCTGTCCAGTTTGCTAACTTCTAGCTAGTGAATGGAAACTCACGCTGTGTTGTACTGCCAAAGGTGTTAACTACTTACTTATCGGTGAGAGCTATTTGTGTGTTCTAACATCTAATAAGTTAATTTCTAATTAGCGACTGAGAGCTTATGCAGTGATATGGTGTCCGATTGAATAAAAATATAAGGTTATTTCACACCAGTGGCGCATCGAACACACGTTGATAGATTAATTTTGTTTAAGGCAATCAGCATTAGAAGACTAATGTGATCAACATCTTTACTTCCCTGGACATTCCATTGTGCTCATTTTAAATTGTGTTTTACTGGAAGCCAGTGTCCGTTTGCCTCTCTGTGGATTCTGTTTGCTGACATCCAAATATGGAAACGTTGGAGAAGAAACGAAACAAGAGGTTAACCAAGAGAGAAGATTCTTGGAAGTTAAATATCATGGCTTGGATCATCTGAATAAGAACTTTTTGAAAGTACACGAGACACGTAATTGTGGATATAAATGTCTACCAGCGTCACACAGTACGGACTATAAGAAAAAGACGACAAACATCAAACTTGTGAGAGAGGGTTTAACATCGTTACTTTTATATTGTCGGCATCTGTGGCTAAGGCGTTGCGCACGCGCTTAGTAATGCCGGGGTGCCCGGTTCGAGGCCAGCTGCGGTACTAGCGCCTTGCGTTGGTTTCGACAGTGGTATCGAGAAGCTGACCGTCTAGAAAGCAATGGCAAACTATTGGACGTAAATTTGCCTAGTAAACCCACAACAGCCAATGCTGGTGTTGGTTCTGCAACGTCCTGTAAAAGATACGCAACCAACTAACAACAACTGTTACATTAGCTCACGTCAAGCAGTGAATAGGAGTTCACTAACTGTAATTTAACATACATTTTAAAACGCACTGGGTATCCACGTGAGTCACACTTCCTGCGGAATTTAGGTCTTCAGTGTACAACGGTACGAGCGTGAACAGCCCTTTCTCCAAAAATATTTATCTAACATTTTGCGTTTTATTATTTCAACAATTGAATCGTTTTAATTCGGGCAGCGTGGACACGTTTTCCCCCACTATTCACGGCCGAAACTAACGAGGGTTAAATTCCACAGCCTTCGTAACAGAAATAACATTCAGACTCATCAGTATGGTTGTGAAAATCAAATTTATGTTTCACATCGTTGTTTATAAACGTTTGGTGAATTTTGATGTGTGTGTTCACGGAGTATGGAATATTTATTCGTTGCTTCTGGAACAATAAAATACAAGGAATTTCACAGCGATGATTTAAAGGGATGATCCTACGCCGTTATGAGTGGTACAAGCAAGCATAAGCATGAAACATGGATTCCACGCGCAAAATGTAAGTAGAAAGCTTGTTTAGTTAAAACAACTAACAATATTTCTGCTACTACTCGCACACAGCTGCTTTTCTCCTGCTTTTTACTGTCATTTTCCCCCATCACAGCCTAAAAGAGTACAGAGCTCTGGTGTTTGCTATCTACATACACGATGAGGTTCACAGCTTCGTATATTGCATATCCTTTTCAAGAACAATTTTGAAAAAAATCATGCTCTTTTAGGGAAGGCGCTATTATGGACACATTCCGAGATTAGACGACTAGGAAATCATCAAACAGGTACTGTAATTGGAAATAAATATACTTAGGAAATAAGGACGTCGAAGAGAAACACCAGACCGAAAGTTGAGGAGAGAAGCCAATATTGTATCGAAGTGATCACACAGGATAGAACAGAATGCATACATAAACTGCTAGTCCTATATGACATATAATGCACCACAGGACAATGCATGAATGAGTATGTTTGACACAAGCAAATGATTTCAAATTCAGAGAAACGAAACTCTCTTTAGGTTGAATATTAGAATATTTATGTCGGTTGTGATGTGGTATCACGTGTACCTTTATGATTGTTCGTGCCTGCATGTGTATGAAATTTAAAGACGCACATCTTTCAGTATTTTACGGATTTAGGGGTTATATTGCCTTTGTTTAAGGCTTATGTATCTCTGAACCCTTGTGTGCAGTACCCAGGGCTCTTCAGCGATATAATATTTCGCCAGTCTTTTTTTAAATGCATTCTCAAGAATGACAACGGCACTCGAGGCAGTAGGCACTTAGGTAATTTTAAAACGTTTGTCGATGATATCTTTGTGTACAGACAATGAAGAAACACAACTGAAATATCTAAAGGACTGCAGCTCTATATGGATAATGTGAATGAGTGATGAGAGGAAACTGGTTCAATTACCAGGCCTATATAAAGCAGTATTGTGGTGTTAGCTAAGAAGAAATTGTCAGCGGTTCCGAAACATTCCATTTAGTGGCAGTAAGGTCAAAGGCTGAAGGCTACCAATACTGCTTTTGACTCCTGTGTCAGTAATGTTACCTAATCTGTGAATAGGTAAACCATTGATCTTAGATTGCACATGAATTGTAACCGAAGTTTCTGTCATTTACTCTTATTGCTAGTAGCCTGCTCTAGAAACTATTTTAGGATACTTTAAATTACTTGCGATATATTACAATCTATATTTAATCACAGGCAAACATACACATAAAAACACATATATATATATATATATATATATATATATATATATATATATATATATATATATATATATATATATAATACACGCATACATATACAAGAGACTAAGTCAGTTATCTCGCACTCAAACATCATTTAAGACTTTCAAAGCTAGGCAATTTTTTTTTAAACTTATTCTCTCCGTGTGAGTTTAGGAATCTCATTTCTGGTGTAAAATAACAGACTCACAGCATGTCCCATCTTCCGTGCATGTCAGAAGTGTGGTGGCCAGGTTTAATAAGTTATTTTGACGTCACCGCG